CCCTCCTTACTTTTTGCGGCAGCTAAATGTTCTCTCATCCATGGCGCCGGTTGAACACGACGGTGTGGTGCTGGTCAACCCTCGGGATTTGACTGGCTTTGGCGCACAACTGTGCCTCAGTCTCCTCTTAGCCAACCGTCAGCCGGGAAATCCTCTGCGGAGGTCCGACCTGCCGCCATCAAATCTCTGCTACACACTGTGGCTCTGCCCTCAGAAGCAGCATGTGGCCGCAACCGTTGGCAACCTCCGTCAAGTCCTCGAGGGCTTAAAGATACTCGCCAGCGCTGACACGAATAGGCCCTTTGACACGAAGTAAGAGCTTTCCCCCAAGATTTTTAACGGTTGCACCAAGTGGTCGCACCAAGTATTTACTTTTAAGAAATACCTATATTTTGCCATTTGAGTGGGCTTGATTTAACTGAATTCCATTCCGCTGGTTCCTTTCACGCCTTCTAAAGTGTCACCATTAGGCTTATCGTTCGGCTTCGGGTTAGATTTAGAGGGGTTAGGGTTAGACTCTAAACAGCGGTTTCGGGTTAGGGTTCAGGCTCTCAACGTTGCAAATTTCAATTATATATTCAGTCTTGACTATCACGAAAGTCGGATTTAGTGGTGTATTTTCCATTTCTACTTCAATTTTATTGGTTATCACGGTCTGATTTAACCCCTTGTCCTCGTGTTTCTCTTTTTTTCATCCCATGACAGCTCCTAATTGCCAGTATTTCACATTGCGCGCTGGTCTTTTTATGCCTTCTTGGCGTATTTAAACAGACTAATTACGTAACTATAGGGTTTTCTACCAACCCGCATATTTAATAACGATATAAATTTGCAGGCCTGGAGACAATAACTACAATTTTGAATTTTTTTCCCCGAAAAAGAGCTATCTATAAGTTTCGACTGCCCCGCCCATAAAACTCAATTTATCCATATTTCTGTATTACAAGAGTCTGTGGCTCCCGTTTTCAACTAGAGACCACATATCCAATTATCACCTCCGTCTGTTATGCTTGTCCTTACAACCAACCCACTGAACTGGCCTTTTTTAACCTAATTTTGCTTCCTTATTGGAAAGGCCATAACAATTCGGGCGCCCTGGTTAGTGAGTAAGTATGTAATATATTCCAAATTCAATTTTCTGTGGTGTGGGTGCACCTTCCATTTACTCCCTAGCTTCACCCACTGAGTTCTGTGTTAACCGCTACTCATTGCCTTTATGGCGGTGACTTTACAGGTGCTGCTACCGTTAAATGTACAATAGGGGGTTAGTGTTACTTGCCGCTAAAAGTATGAGTGCGAACGAACATGTGATTCTCAAGTCAGACGAATTTATCGCTCCAGCTATGGAACTGAATCCTCAATCTTTGATGGGGGCGCTACCCCTCTCTACCTGCGGCACATCTGTATGGTCGCCTTTCAAGGGCAGGTAATCCCTATCAGTTGTGGTAAAGATAACAACCAGACGGCTAACTTGGCGGCTAATGCACAGAAAAGTGGTGGAGGTAGCCCGTAAAGAAAAAAAAGGTGGACCGATAAACGTCTGTTTCGTACTCACTGAAGCCTTCCTCACATGCCTATGCGTCCGATCAACACTGGCGACCGATAACACTAACATAGGTGGTCCACAGTTGAACGCTGGTAGATAAATTACCACATATTTCGAACCGCATTTTCCCAATGCCGCCAAACAGTCGGCCTCTGTTTGGTTAAATGACAGTTCTACCATCGTGAACGATGATGTAAACTGCGTGCCCCCAGAATGTTGTGAACTCAGGGACAGCCAGTTGCACAAGAAGTAATTTATGGTGATAGTAGATTTCCTCAGCACCTACCAAACTCCCTCCTCCATATACTTCAGCCTATTGCCAGGGACAGAATTAAGAAGACCGGAGGAGGGTCGGGTGCAGTCATTGACGAAGCATCTCAGCCCGTCTACGCGTGCCATGCACGACCTGGTCCGCACGCAATGGACCAGGTTTTCACAAGAACAAGCAAGGGAGCGTGGCGCCGAACTGATTGTGAGTACCATAGAAGCCACATTGAGCTGAAAACACAAAAAATAGATGCGCGGATGCTGATTTCATGCTTTAGGTCGCAACTATAGTTCTGCGATTATGAATGTTCGAGGACGGTATTAATAAGTTCACAACAGTTGCTGTGTCAGTCTCGCTGACCTCTGTCTGTCCACGTCCGTTGAAGGCTCTTTTACCGCTCCTAAGGAACTGAATGTCCTCCATGACTATTCTTCAAGTTTTAGTGGTGTGATTGCCGAATTGAACTTTTAAATGGTTCTAACACACATTTCTTTGTGTTAGGGCGAACATGACGTCTGGCCCTGACTCCCCGACTAAACGGCCGGTGCTTCTGGTTACGCTCCTTCGTGACATTTTCACCGCTGACAATCCGAACCTTTCCGTTTTCGAACATGATATCATCGTTTCAACGGCCGGTAAGTGGTCTCCTTCCCATTCAGCCTATTTTTCATCTGCGTTGGCCAGAATAGCCCTAGTTTAGACTTTTAAATTTTTTTATAGAATTTCAATTTTAGGTCAATTTTACCGTTCATTCATCACAACTCGTCCTATTTTCGTAGGCGCGTTCGCATATTTCTGACAAACCTCATTTATCTTAACTAAGCGCTCATAAGAGTACTGTCTCCTGCAAATCAACGTCTCAGTCTAACTCTATCGCACATTCTAGGTTCTTGGGAAAACTTTCTCGCAAACGTCCCCGGAGCGGATAAATCTCTCTGTGGCCTTGTGATCAGTGGATCCGAAGCCTTTATCAAAAACGACCCTCTCGATAGATTTATCAACAAAACAGCCATGCGTTCTGATCGTGGAAGGGTGAGTTTCCAATATATGCAACTGCCTTTTTGTTGAATTTTGTGCTAACAAGTTTAAGTTTTTTGTACTCTAGTGACTTCAGGCAAATTAAGGT